CAATCCTAAATGCACCTTATATTTGCTTTGGCCGTGAGGGACATAAGTTGCTTTTGGGATTACAATTCAAAGAACATTTTCACACGAGTTCATTAAGGTTGTTAATTTATTATAATTAATGGTGTAATAAATGTACTTTTTATAATTAATTTACATAAAGATTTATAAAAATTAATATTTATTTTAACATGATTAACATGTAAATAATTTTAATTAGTTAATTAATTGATTCAAAATCAACACTTACCCTTTTTATATAAATTAATTATAAAAAATATATTAATTACATCTCTTAACTTATATTTTTAAAACACAAATTAAAAAACTCTAACTTAATAACTATAATTACAGGACCTTATAACAATTCTAAACAAAGCCATTGTCAAGTGATGAGGTCTCTAACTATTCTTTCTTTAAATTATACTTAAATGCCATATGGATGTAACAATTCTAAACAAAGCCATTGTCAAGTGATGAGGTCTCTAAGTATTCTTTCTTTAAATTATACTTAAATGCCATATGGATGCTAGTTTTTTTTTTTTTTTAACTGAAGTTAAATCATATAGACGCTAGTTTAGGTTGTCTTTTCAAGTTTATTCATTTTTTTATATGGAAATTACTTAGATGATATTTTTTTTTTGAATAAATTTCCAATAAATTAGATTTAAATCGCATATGATCTCTCGGTCAGGTGACTTTCAGACTACCTTAGAAGTGCACTCTCCCCTACTCATGATGGGTTCGAAACCCACCCTTGTCAACTTGATAAAAAAAAATTAAATTTAAATTATTACTCAAAAAAAATATACTTAAATATAATTTGACGTAACTTGAATCGAAAGCCAAAGTAACCCAAATGCTACTTAGATGATATTTAATAATTAATTTCTCTTTATATATTATAATTGTTCACGTATATATCATTGATAAAATAACACACTCACTACGTTTTCTTATTACCATTAATGAATCTCATCAATCAAAAGAAAACAACCTACTCTTGGTGTAGGACTTAGGGTTAACTTAACAATATTACCTTATAGTTATTATTAAAAAAATTTGTATTTTTTAATATTTTAAAAATATATATAATATATTTAATATTTATTTTAATTAATATTTTTTTTTGACCAGGTAGATGGTTAAGAAATTATTAGAATTAGTTTGTTAGTTGATGAAATTTTAATTAATATTTCATATATTTCTAAAATAATAAAAAATATAAAACTTAAAAACCAAACAACACTGTCCAACCAAACTTTACGCAGGTGTCGTAGTTCTCATTTATGTCTAATGTCTTGTAGCTCCGGTGGGCTGGTATTTAGCGACCTCTATCTGACATTTCAAGCATTTGAAGACCATACATTGTCATGAGCAGTGATTGATGGGACGAGACATGAGTGTGAAAATTGAAGGTCTAATTGCCGTCCTTTTTGTTATTTTTTGTTTTGTTTGAATTAAAATACATCTTAATGTAGTATTTTAAATATAATATTGCATTAAAAAATCGTACTTATGAGGGAGAGCGGGTATCAGGTGCTTACTTTTTAATTATTTAAATATTATAATTTAAATTATATTAAAATATAAAATAAAAATTATCAAACGGAGAAAACTTCTAATATCATAAACTTATTTCCCTTTAATAATAAGTATTATATAATTAATAGAATTCAAACAAAATAACATTATTTTCAAAATAAAAAATAAATTAAAAAATGCATTAAACAAAATTAGTTTTATTGGCAGAATGAACAGAGTTCATCTTACAGTTAACATGATTAATTGAGATTATGAAGTTAGTATCCTAACTTATTATTTTTCACTTAAACAATACTTTGTGAATTGTGTTTCAAAAGAGTTTAGTAATTACATATCTTAACGCATAGGTCTCACTATACTTAATTGATCATTAACTACATGCATATAACAGTAGATAGCATTAAACAAAATACTTTAAAAGAGTATAGTGAAGTTCACAAAAAGAAAGGGAAACAAAAAACGGACATTACAATTCTGATATGTTGTTACTTCCAGCTTCAATTCGACATGTTTCTTTGTTTGAATTCTCTGAGCAAAACTCTTTGTTCTAGAACAACAAAAAATTTCCTCTTTGATTCATTAAATTTCTTCCCAATAGCACTGCAGAAGTCCACCAAATGAAGCAAACAAGAGAGAGGAAAATCAAAGGCGGTAGCCAAAAAACCCCTATATATGGTCCCATCTAATTACAAAATTACCCCTAAACAACCGCCGATTGCACTACAACTACAAAACAACCCCAGAAATTATTAAAAAAAAAAAACCCTTTGCACTCTCACAGAAAATTGTCATTTTTGTGTCTCCCTTTACAGGTCCTAGATTCCTTATCAAGTCAAAACGGTAAAGACTATGAGAATGATGAAGTGAGAGAAAGGAAAAAAAAAAAAAAAGTAATGAGAGAGAAAGGAACAGAATTGGGTGATGAGAGAGATAAAAGAGATAGAGGGCTTAGGATTCTTATATCTAGACAAGGTTCAAGGATTAAATAAAAACGAAACAAATACTTTTGTAAAAAGATCAGAAGGCCAAAGTATAAAGGAGAAAGGGAGAAAAAGGGGAAGAAAGAATAAAGAGAGAAACAGCCCAAAAAACAGGTGAGATAGGGAGGGACGCATTTCTCCTATTTAGTTCTTTAAAATATTAGATAGTTTACTAGTTAAACTTACTTTAGATAGAGATAGAGAAAGATAGAAAGAGCGAAGTGAAATTTGCATATCACATATCCAAAAACATTATTAGGTTTTACCTTGTATATATTTTAACAATATTGGCTTAAATACTTTAAGAGGGGTGAATTAGAGTCTTTAAATTTTTCTTCTTTTTACAACCGCCAAATGAAAAACAAAGAGAGTATAGAAAAAGAGTTCGTATAAGTGATTTTATAGAGGTTTAGCACCTAATCTTATACCTTGACTTCACTTACCAAGATTTCCTCTACATTCTCCACTGGTGCTCAATAGTAGCTTAAAGGAGTTATCCAATTCTTTTACAATGTGTTTTTCACTCAAACATTTCCCTTTACCAAAAAAAACCCCAATAAACCTCACTTGATTTCTCTCTTGAAGGCTTCACTCACCCTCAAGTATCTCTTCTTGGAGCTTCACTCACTCCTAAGATCACAAAGAAAAGGTGGAAAGAAAGAACATAAAGACTATAATCTCTCAAATGTCTAATTTGCAAGTGTAAGCTCAAGCTCTTGAAAGGATTTGCAAATCTAAGCTTAACTCTTGTTTTTTATCTTTTAATATGTTTCTAAAGGCTCTCCAAGATGTTTACCCATCATATTTATAGAGTTAAGCTTGAAACTAGCCGTTTATAGTCATTGAGATGCATAAACGCTCAGTAGATGCATCAAATTCAAAAAACTAGATATTATTGTCCAATTAAGAGTCGAATCTAGAAATTAAGAGTCAAATCTATAAATTCAACTCTCCAAATCAAGAGTAGACTCTTCACGAATTTTTGGAATTTGGTTAATTTTTCTTCGTGCAAACCAAAGATATCAAGAGTCGAATTTTGAAACTAAGAGTCAAATATTGAGCTCAAACATTTGATTCTTCAAATGAGGAGTTGAATTCTTCAAATGAAGAGTTGAATATGCCCTGCATCCAAATATTTCTAAGCTCTCTAGAATTTGGGAGTTAAATCTGCAACCTATATTCGAATCTTCAAGCTTTTTCTTTTTTGCTTTTCATATTTCAACTTCAAATCATCATATCTTTCTCATTCAAACTCCATTTTGATTATTCTTATACCTGTTGGAAAGTTTGGGATATCTACTTTTATATGAACTAACTCTTGAACCAAAACTTTCACTATAGGCATATATCTTTTTGAATGAATAAGTGAAGGTAATTGTTCCAATGCATGAAGACTTGATTTTATGTAAGTTTTGTCTCTAAAATTCTTTCCTTTGATCCTACACACTTGCACAAACTCATTAAACTTTTCCAATGATTTTGTTTTCATCAAAATCATCAAAGGAGTTTAACAAGTAACTCAATTAGAAAGTAAATAGGTGACTTCTCTTAAATTCTATTATATTACTTTGAAATCATCCAAATCCTGGATAAACACTTTAACTTCCTTTCCTTTTCCTTATCTTCCATTTATACACTGTACCATTCAACTACAGAGAAACTGAAGATGTAAAGATGAAAACTCAAGTGAAAATGAACATGAAATGAACATACACTCAAGTATTAAACTTGAGAAATGACATACATGAACTGTGTTCTAATATATTAGAAAATCATAGCATCAAACATACATATTGTTTCTAGGAAAAAAAATTAGAAACTTACACATTATAGTCATTGAAAACAAAGAAGATACAAATTGCCAACATAAACTGCTACAACACAAAGCAAAATAAACTAATTACAATTGCCACCACACAAGAACTAACATAACTAGTTAATAGACTTGATCCCATACATTAACACTCTTCCTTGAGAGCAAGGTCGGTAACTCCATGCTACTCTCTTAGCATTTTAAACCTTTATTTTGGCAAAGACTTAGTAAGAATATCAACAAGTTGTACATTTGAACTATAATAAAGCAATTGAATTTGTTTAGTCTTGATGCATTACCTGATTACACGGTATTTCACATGACCATGCTTAGTCTTCTTGTTCTACACAAGATATTGAGCAATTGTAATGGTTGGCATATTGTCATCTTAAATCAAATTGGAACCAAGTCGAGGCTGTCCCATATCAGTCAACATTTTCCTCAACTAGATTGCATGATTTAAGGCTTCTACAACTAAAATATATTTAGCTTCAACAATAGATTGAGCAACTACCTGATTACATGGTATTTCACATGAACATGCTTAGTCCTCTTGTTCTACACAAGATTTTGAGCAATTGTAATGGTTGGCATATTGTCATCTTAAATCAAACTGGAACCAAGTTGAGGCTGTCCCATATCAGTCAACATTTACCTTAACTAGATTGCATGATTTAAGGCTTTTACAACTAAAATACATTTAGCTTTAACAATAGATTGAGCAACTACTTGATTACATGGTATTTCACATGAACATATTTAGTTCTCTTGTTCTACATAAGATTTTGAGCAATTGTAATGGTTGGCATATTGTCATCTTAAATCAAACTGGAACCAAGTTGAGGCTGTCCCATATCAATCAACATTTTCCTCAACTAGATTGCATGATTTAAGGCTTCTACAGCTAAAATATATTTAGCTTCAACAATAGATTGAGCAACTACCTAATTACATGGTATTTCACATGAACATGTTTAGTCCTCTTATTCTACACAAGATTTTGAGCAATTGTAATGGTTAGCATATTGTCATCTTAAATCAAACTAGAATCAAGTTGAGGCTATCCCATATCAATCAACATTTTCCTCAACTAGATTGCATGATTTAAGGCTTCTACAACTAAAATATATTTAGCTTCAACAATAGATTGAGCAACTACAACTTGAATGAGTTCCAACAAAAAAAATAGAACCAAACTTGAATAAATAACCAGTAGTACTTCTTCCATCATCTAAGCTACCAACCCAATCACAATTAGAATAACCCACGAAAGAACCAAAATAAATCTTCTCAAACCAAAGTCCATGATCTGAAGCGTTGCAATAGCAAAATGAAGTGTAGTATGAGAACTCATGAATCTAGATAGAAGACTAGCAACATACATGATATCAAGCCTTGTTGTAGTAAGATAAAGCAAACTATCAACTATACTCTTGTATTGTGAAGCGTCGATATATGCACTTCCACCCTTTTTGGACAACTTTTCATGCAAAACAAGTGGAGTAGAATTTCTTTGCTATTGTCTATACTAAATCTTTTCAACATATCCAATGCATATTTCCTCTATGACAAGAAAAAACCATCACTACATTACTTACTTTCTAGGCTAAGAAAGAAACTTATTTCCCCAAGATTTGACATTTCAAAACCTTTTTTCATCATAGACATAAAATTATTCACATACTGAATATCACAACCAGTAATGAGAATATCATCAACATAAATTGAAACCAAAAGCTACATCCCCATACATGTCTTTCACATACAAAGCAGCTTCATTTTCACTCCTCCTAAAACCTTGTTGCATTAAGTAAACATCAATCATACTATAACAGGCCCTAGGCGCTTATTTCAGACCATAAAGAGCTTTATGAAGCTTATAAACCATGTCCTCACTTCCATGAACAAAGAACCCTTCTACTTGCTCAACATAGATTTCTTCTTCCAAAATGCCATTCAAAAATGCAAATTTCACATCCATATGGTAACTTTCCAACTATTTGAGCAGAAATAGCTAGCAAAAGTTTGATAGCATAATGCCTTATGACTAGTACAAAAGTCTAAGATAAATCTACTCTTTTTTGCTGTACATAACCCTTAACTACAAATCTAGCCTTGTACTCGTTTACTGAACCATTAGGATTAAGTTTTGTTTCAAAAACCCACTTAACCCCTATCACATTTTTATCTTCTAGTCTAAGACAATTGCCAAGTTTTGTTCTTTTCAATCAAAGCTAACTCTTCTTTCATAGTTGCCTTTCATTCATCATGTTTTAAAGCCTCAATAAAACAAGCTGGATCAAAAGTAGCCAAAATGCACCTAGCATACCCATATTCAAGTGACTTTACCTTCAAAGAGGGTGAATCATCATCAATTTGAACAATATTTTGATGTCTAGAAATAGAAATTGTACTTTGTTCAACATTCAAGTCTTCATTTAATTAAGAAGAAAAATCCTTAATTATTTTCTGACCATCTTAGCTCCAAGAAGCAAATTCATCAATTAAAACATCTCTATGCACTTTTACTTTTTGAGACTGCAAATTATAAATTCTGTACCCCTTTATTGTGCTACATAACCAACCAAAATTCCCATCTCAACTTTCTCATCCAACTTGGTTCCTCTAGTTGCTGAAACATGCATATAACATATAGAACCAAAAACCTTCAAATGATAAGCCAAAGGCTTAAGTCCAACCCAAGCCTCAGTAGGAGTTTTATCTTTAGCAGCTCTAATTGGAAAACCATTTAGCAAACAAATAGCAGTATGCCTTGCCTCTGCCCAAAACTTCTTAGGCAAATTCTTCTCAAAAAGCATACTTCTAGCCATTTCCATCATTGTTCTATTTCTTCTCTCAGAAGCATCATTTTTGTTGTGGTGTTATACTTCACTATTAAATGATGATTTATACCATGCTCTTCATAAAAAAACATCAAACTCCTTGGAAGAATATTCCTTTCCATTGTTTGATCTCAAGGTTTTAAGTTGGTAACCACTTTGCTTCTCAATTGGCACTTTAAACTTTTTAAAAACAAAGAATACTTTTGACTTGCTAGACAAAAAATACACCTAGGTCATTGTAGTCAAATCATCAATAAACAAGAGAAAATATTTGCTTTGACTTAGAGAAAGTGTATTCATAGGGCCACATAAATGAGTATACACCAATTTAAGTTTTTGAGTTGATCCCCATGCCTTAGTTGTAGGAAAAGCTCTTCTATATATTTTTGCAAGTTGATAGCTCTTGCATACATTATTACTAACATAAATTTTAGGTAAATCTCTTGCAAGTTAACTATACTTCAAAAACTTCAAATTTTTAACATTGTAATGACCATATCTCTTATGCCACAAGCTAGTCTTATCTTCTTTAGAAACCAAGACATGCTACTTAACAACACTCCACATTGGAGGGAAGCTATTATCAATCAGTCTCACATTAGCAACCTCATAACCATGAACATAAAAAATCTAACATACATTTTGTTTAAAATGTACATAATATCCATGTTTCATTGATTATGCAATACTCAGCAAGTTTTAACACAAACTAGGAATGTACAAAACATTAAAAATAGTTTTAATATTTTCCTTAGTTTGAATTGAGACATGACCCTTACCTTCTACTTGCACTACATATCCATTGCCAAATTTGACTCTTGTTGGAACAAACCTACCCAGTTTTGTAAACAACTGCACGTCTCTGACCATATGATTTGTACAGCCACTGTCAACATACCATGAATCTTTTTCACAAAACAATTGTGCACAAGCAATAAAAATATAATCTTCTTCATTTTGATCTTTCATGTAATTAGTCTACGGCACTTACTTAGGCCTGTGTAGCACTTGTTTAGCTTTGCAAAATTTTAATGTATAGCCATGTCTCTTACAATTCTTACAATAAATTATGGCTTTCCTTTGTGCCAATAATATTTTTCAAGATGATTTGTCTTTCTAGAATTCGGACAAGGACGAAATTTGTCTTTCTTGTCAAAATTTCCAAAAAATTCAACTTGCTATTTACCTTTCTTAACTTTGTTAGCTTCATGCTTCCAATCTAATTTTGCAATTGAATATATCCCTTTATGCTTAGCTTGAAATGCCCCTTCAGCACTTTTGTCAAATCTCATTACAAGCCTTTTGTCATCAGCTTGCAATTTTCCAATGAGTGCTTTAATGGAAAGCCTATTCAAGTTACAAGATTCTTCTATTATAGTAACTTTACATTCAAACCTATCAAGAAGACTAACTAACATCTTGTCAACCACTCATGAATTAGGAAATCTCT